GTTATCATTACTACAGGGGTCGGCTATTGTGTCAGACGAGGAAAAAAAAAGAAAAAAATGCTCCTTTTCTACCGAAATGGCCATTTCAAACTCGCTCCGTGATATCTTTGCGGGCTCAAAACCTGCCGTGTCCATACATGTTTCTTTTTTCTTTTCTTTAGGTCGTTGTTTACTTCCTGTGTGGTTCGGCCTTTTCCCGTGTTCTTCTATGTACTGAAGTCTATCACCTTCAAGTTGTGTCAAACAGTACAGAGTGCCTGCAACACTATGAGGGGGCCTGCTGTGTTTGGGATGGCTGGGTCTGTGTGCTTCAGATAATGGTAGACATTCGTCCTGTGGTATCCTGGCTCGTGATTGTGGATTGAACCAACAGCCTGCTGGGCTTTCCATGATGTGACCAGGTGATAGTCCACTGTGTTCGTTCCTGTGTGCATGGGCTTCTGTGTTGCTGTGTGCCTTGATGTGTTGGTGTCCCACACGCCTGCCAGCTTGCCTTGCTATGTGCTGCCTACGGTCTTCACCCGTATAGAATATTGACTCATTATTGCTGTACCTGGGGCAACTTTCAGTGTACAAGATACAGTGATAACGACTGGGCATTCTGTTTTAGGCGAAGAGAGCAATGTTACTATGCCAAATGCCTTGCAGGGTTGTAGTGTTTGCCTTGCCCATGCTGCAGTGAATGCTTTCCTGTGTTTGCCCATACACAAAGGGGCTCGAGCCTTGAAGCTGGGTATGACCCAAAGCATTATATGTGAGGGGATCTGCAGACTGTTGAGGGCTCAGCCTCCTGATGAGTTGTCCTTGCAAGGCCAGTGACTCTTGAAGCTTGGGTGTGTGTGTGTTCATCTGGTTATCGATGTGTGTTGTCATGTTCACTATACACAAGTCCACAAAAACAGCAGGACCGAGCCAGACTGTTTTGTCGGACTTTCACCGACTCATCAGGAGGTTGAACCCCAACAATCTGCCCACAATGCACTAGGCTGATGGATAAGGACTCGCCACGTCACCCTCTTTTTTTTTTTTTTTTTTTTTTTTTTTGCAAGATGTCAACTTTACTTGCACCAGCCCTACAATAGTGGCGATCAGTCCAAACCCCTGATGAGAATGGCAGTGGTCTGTTACAGCCGTGAAACCCACTTTACACCCCCCGCCCGCATCCGCCATGGATACCGACTGGCATGACTGACAGTACTGTCCTAACCCTAGCCACATCGATCCACCTGAACGGAGAGCTTTGCAAGGCCATGTTATATTGTCATGTTCACTATACGTATGTGTGTGCGTGTGTGCGTGTGTGCGTGTGTGCGTGTGTGCGTGTGTGCGTGTGCGCGCGAGCGCACGTGTGTGTGTGAGTGTGTGTGAGTTGTGTGTGCGTGTTTGTATGGGATGCTCCAGATCCAATTTTTTTTAAGCCCAGGGTGTTGTAGAGGCCAAGGACCAGACCCCTCTCTGTGGAAGGACATGGCATAGCATGTTGTGGGCTCTTGTGACACACACACATGCATAAACAGCACAGTCATGCTTAAAGTTTTTTGTGCAGCTGTGTATAGCAAACATGACAACACACACACAAGCGCGCCCACACACACGTACCCACACAAACCCACAGACACAATCAGTAGGAGCGAAAAGTTACAGAAACCATCTTTGATTTTTCTCCTGGCCCCCTTTCTCTTTTTTCTTTCTTCTTTGATTCAAATGTTTTTTGCTAGTGGTGGCTGTGTCAACGACCTGTGTGTTGGGTGTGACTTGGTACACGGAGATGCGGAGAAACAATTGCTGGGCTGGGGTGAAATGGTCATCTTGGCATTCTGGGGGCCTCACTTTCACCCCAGTCAGCTTAGTCATTTGGTTGAGCAACCAACTCCCAAGTGGGAGGCTGCGTGTTGGATTCTTGGGATAGGCTCATGGATGCACTTCTTCTTCTTCTTCCTTCTTCTTCTTCCTCTTCTTCTTCCTCTTCTTTCTTCTTCTTCATCTTCTTCCCTCTTCTTCCCTCTTCTTCTTCCTCTTCTTCTTCTTCTTCTTCTTCTTCTTCTTCTTCTTCTTCTTCTTCTTCTTCCTCCTTCTCTTCCTCTTCCTCCTCCTCCTCCTCCTCCTCCTCCTCCTCCTCCTCCTCCTCCTCCTCGTCTTCTTC